TGTTCAGTAAATTTTACAAGTGAATGACATTACTTAGCTTTTGATGAAGCACTTGAAACATATGGTGTGAAGTATATCAAGCAAAATATTACTAGCAATCTTGCTGATCAACAGACAATGATGTCAAAAATAAAAGCAGCCCAAAGTGAGAGAAATCGGTTATTAACGCTTCTTAAAGAATATATTGATAATGTTGTGATAAGCCAAATTCTTATGTGATCAAGTCACACAAAGATTCACTTTGGTCGCTGATTACAAAATTATCATCCGCATTCGACCATCCACATCCTGCAACACATTATCTATTTGAAGATGCATCAGAAATTAGCGAAAATGGTATTAAGAATATCCTTTTTTTCTATAAGTCTGGTAAATCATGTTTTTTACAAGTACTCAATCAAGATGTATACAAAACTGAACATCGTGATACTTCTAAACATGGTGTACAAAACATAAAATATTATACTTATTCTCAATTTGATAAGAAACAAAAAAATAAAATAAATATAACACAGGAACTAATTGTTCCAGATATTCCAGAAATACACCAGACATCATCATCTTTCAAAGTTCCAAAACAGTGTCGCACTACTACAAAAAAAGAGAAAAATATATTAGCTCAATTGTGGAAGGGCGAAGAAAAATTAACTGAAACCAAAGTTACAAACATACAAACACAATTACCAGATTGGACTGAAGAAAGAATCAAGCAGTACTGGAACAATAACTAGTGCTAACATTTTCAAAGTAAGGAGTAAAGATTGGACCTATTAAGAAAATCTCTACCCGAGTATTATTAAATTACCTGAGTTATCTGGGTAAGTTATTATATATTTCGGGTAATCATATAGTAACAATTTCTATCCGAGTCTAATCTTTAGTAAGGAAATTCGTCTCTAGCACTACTTTCACACAGATCCAGTGTTGACACTTGGTATATGTCCATATTTTTTAAAAAATTTGGACTATGTTCAAATCATATTTGTCAATATTTTTTTTAATAAGTCCAAATGCCTAACACTGCGCAGATCTGATAGTTCTCCTATTATAAACTATATATAATTCATTAAAATTGATCTTTTTAAATAAAAAAAAATATTTTATTTGATTGTCTAATAGAAGCCGTATAACAAATAACTGCAGTAATTTCAAAATAACACTATGATATTATATTAAGAAAAAGGATCTCATAATAAACTTCAAAATGCCTCAAGTAAACCGTCTTTACTCCAATAATCAATTTTGTAAAGCTCTTCATTTGCTATTATTAACAAAGCTGAATGTGTTTTAATTTTTGATAGTTAAAAGAAAATCTTGAAGTTTAAGTTGAAAATTACGGGTTTTTTAATAGTTTTTATTCCATATAAAATAAAAGTACAAATATATTTTTTAGTATAGAGAGAAAGCGTAAAACTCAAATAAAAAACTTGTCTAATACTAAAAGTATAGTAAGTATTAATTAGTCGACGTATTCTTAAAAAAAAATCACAACGATTTGTATTACACGATAATAATTTACTATGAAGATCATCGATAAGGACATGTCGTGTGACTGATATGTATTAAATACAATTTGAATATGAATCATATGGACTTAGAATTTGTAGTAATAATTAAATAAGTTGTTTATATTTATATATATAACATGGCCCATATTTAATGATGCCATTGCCTGGATTACAGATTCAATTTCTGCTATTTTGGCATAGCAATAAGAATATTTGATGCCTCTTTCGGGTTCATTTTAGCTGGTTGTTCTTTTTCTAACCATAGTACATTATTAATTGGTGTTATATTGTCATCTCTTATATATACTACCCCATTATACCGTGGGTTTAATGGTGCTTTATAGAATATTGATGGTAAATATGAAATGGCACATGGTGTTGCAGATAATAATATTATTTTTGTGAAGGTCTGGTTTATTTTGTTGTACTTCTGAATTTTTTCGATCCAGAACAGTGCTTCTGGGTCAAATTCGTGAAATTCATCAATAACAATAATATAGTTGTGAAATTCTTGTAAATTAGGATGTTCTGATAGAAATGAAATAGTTTCTACTAAAATATGAGCCATAGTTAGGTTATTGTAAGGCATGGGGTAATATGAACTCCTTGCTTTACTATTTGGTAAGTACCAGGAAGATGAGTTCTGTTGCCTCTCAGTTCGTTAAGGAATAGGTTAAAGTAATTGTCACAGATAACATTTTGAGAAACAGCATGAAGAATTTGAGTACCTCTATTATGATCATCGTCTAAATAATGTTTATGTTGATTGTTTTTATATTCGAATCTATATTGTAATTTTTCTTTTGTTCAGCAATATAATTTTTCTTTTGTTCAGCAATAAAAACTAAGTAAGGATGCAATTTTAGCTGTACTTTTACCTGCACCTGTTACAGCATTAATGATAAAAGCTTTTTTTGCTCAAATTTTTTGTAATAATCAGAAACAGGGTCTAACAGTACATTCTATTGGTTTGAATATGTGGGTCTGTCTTGAGAATCCTCTTTTAATTGGGCATGATGTCTTAATAAGTTGACATAAGCAATGAATAAATGTGCTGCAATTGGTAACCATTCCATTGCCCACCAGAGTTTTTTTGCAACTTGTATATTTATTAAACAATTTGTAAGCCACATAACAAATCTTTTCACCCACATATATAGATCTCATGGTGTTAATGATAATATTTGCTAACTGGAATATCCATATTCATGCCAGTAAATCAGGTTTAGAACCTGATATATTTTCGTTACTTCAATAAACATAATGAAAAGTATCCATAATAATCCCAAAAATGGTAGTTGGATGAGGTACTTTTCCAAATAAACAGTTGCAATATAGAATATACTGTACATGGCTACGTAAAATAAATCGATATATTTTATGAACTCGATTTATCTGTTGGGTATTAGGATTATACTGTAATAAAATTTACTAAAAACTAGCAAGCTTTAGCAAATCTTAAAGAAACAAGTGTCAAGTAGACAATTTTTTATTTAAAGGAAATTAAAAGAAAGATAAAAAATAAAATAATTAAACAGGATTTAAATTCAATAGCCTCCTAGAT